TCTTATACACACTCACGATGTCTCTGTCTCTCTCTCTCTCTCTCTCTCTCTCTCTCTCTCTCTCTCTCTCTCTCTCTCTCTCTTTCTTTCTTGTTGCTTCTCGAATCGATTTGTGTGTAGTATCTCTGCGTTTCAATGTGACTATGAGTGTGTTCACCGGTCTTGTGATGTGGTGGGACAACATAGTGTACCTGTATATGACGTGGTTATCTCACATCGCATACCAGCTACTGTACTGCAAACATCTACTAGATATGGGAAGGTTACAAATTCGATTTTAAAACAGTCACGTAATCGTCTATGTGTTTTTTACTGGCTGCAGGCGCTGACATGCTATCAACTGCTCTTCAGACACTTGTTCTACACGAAACATGTAGAGAGCAGACTTAGCAGGTGAGTGAAGATATTTTGTATCTCCCGAGGCAGAACAACTGTGTAAAAATCGTTATTCCATCGGCGAGACATCTTGCTTCCACTCATGATGCATGGGTTTCTATTCGTCCTGCAAATCGTACGTGATAGATGTCGTTTGATAGTTTAACATCGTTGATCAGTTTAACATCATAGTTTAACATCGTAAAGCATGATAGTTTTAAAAAGTCCTGCTCGCATCTAGATCGCACACTCCTGCACGTAACCACTGCTTCTGGAGTGGAAAGCAGTGAGAATGAAGACAGAAGGTGCTATGTGTGTTTCCGTTGGGTTTTTATTGGGTTCTGTTGGGTTTCCGTTGGGTTTTATATTGCACAGAATCCATAGCTTCAGGGGGCTCGCCCCTGACCCCCACCGCACCCATTTTTTTCAGTCCCCACTTTTTTTGTTAACACACCCATGTACGTGTGTTTTCTCGGTGGGTTGTTTCAGCGTGTTTGTGGAGTGTAAGGACATGCAGCACCGGGTTCCGTTCCACGCACTGCGACACCGCATGCTACACTTTGTACAGAACCTACAGTACTACATGATGTTCGAGGTGATCGAGCCCAACTGGAAGGAGTTTGAAGACAACATGAAGGAGGTATGAACCACTCTGTCATTGTATCAGGAGTAAGATAATATAGGATAGCCTATCTATAGGATATCCTATATTATCTTACTCCTGATA